AGAACCCATCATGACATAAACAGCTAAACTGGTGTCTTACATCTACCTCTATTCATGTTCTTGGGCCATGAACGAGTGGGCTGGTCTGTATGTACATTTCGGGGCGTGACAAAAGAACAGGCCAGAACCAGATAAGGCAACATCTCCAAGTTTACCTCAAGTTGAGGCTTCGTTTGAATTCGCCCGTTTTATGGTGGAAGGTTAGAATTGTGACATTTGTAGAAAAAAGAGGTGTTGATGGGGTTTGAACTTCTCTGTACGTCGATTTCATCCACTGAACTATCGTTATCAATCTTTTACAATGGAGATTGGTTTTGCATTCTATGACCCCTTTAAGTCCAAGGCCTGGCTTCCCTTTAACTTTCACCCCCCTCCCCCCATCTCCTCCTTCACTGTCAGGCTTTTCTCAATCCCGACTCATCCTCCGGTTCATTCCACTGCCATTGTTGACACCCCAGGGGGAAAACGACTATAATCCTCTGCCCAAGTTATTCATCCAAGCTCATGTTAACTCACAGCATCATGTCTTCTGCCAGGGTTAATAAAAATCTTTGTAATTGCTTCTGTTTTCCTTGTGAGTCTCTTTGGGTTGAATTAGTATATTACATTTTCTGCTTTTTTATGACAGGTCTGAAAACCCATCCTAACAAGAAAACTCTGGTCAAGCTAAAAAATAGGGTTTCAGGTTGCACGAAGCTGAACCTTGGTGCTGGTTGTTCAGTCGGAACGCAAGAGACTAAAGAGCGAAACTGACATCTCTTATACATGTACAGTATATTGAGGAGTCGCACTTATGGAACTTCTTTTACGGGGAGAGGGAGGATTTATGCCTTTTCCTTCCACCTCCATCATCTCCCTACCAGCCAGTACTGCCAGAGCCAGGGCCCTTTAGCGAGCCAGAACCCGAGCCAGGGCCCATTAGCGGGCCAGCTTGCGTAGCTCCGGAACCCACTAGCGGGCCAGCTAGTGGAGTGCCAGAACCCATTAGCAGGCTTAATCCAGAGCCCATTAGCCGCCTAGAGACCCCTGAGCCCGCTCTGTGCCTTCCAAGAGCCCTCAGCGGGCGCTCCAAGCCTCCAAGAGCCCTCAGCAGGTGCTCCAAGCCTCCAACAGCCCTCAGCGGGAGCTCCAAGCCTCCAAGAGCCCTCAGCGGGAGCTCCTCGCCCCTTCAGAGGTTGTTCCTGAGCCGCAGCCGGCGGCTCCCTCAGAGGTTGTTCCTGAGCTGCAGTCGGCGGCCCCCTCGGAGTCGGCTGCTGCAGCGTCAGAGACGGCGGCCCCCTTGGAGTCGGCGTCAGAGCTCCTGGCTCCTTTATGGTTTTCCCCTGATGTCTCCATGGTTCTGGTTTGTGTTTTATCTTTATGTTGGATTTTTGGATACCTGTTTTTGTTCAGCATTTTTAAGTTGGATTTTTTGGATTCCTGTTTTCGCTGCCTGATATTTCATTAAATACTTAAAGAACTCACCCCTGCCTGCCAGCCTCTGCATTTGGGTACTCACAAAAACCTCCAAACAATTCGTGACACTTGCTTACTGAATGCCATGTGCCTAACTTGCGTAAACAATGTAAGTCATGCTGGCCCAGCGCTAGGCTCTGGTGCTGCCTGGAATGGTTGAGAGAACCGTTAAGCAAGCTGCCAAATTGTGCCATGGAATTGGAACACACAACACCAGTTCTGAACAGGAACCAGTTTTCGATTTCCATCCATATCAGCCGCATAATGAGGAGTCTTCTAATCCGAACAGGCCTCACTGCTATGACATCATCGGCCGACAAATCTGGCCTTTGGAGGACACAGCCGCTAAATTCGAATGATTTCAAGATTATCAGGTGATTTTTAAAGCTTCAGAAACACCCCACATAATAAAAAAAATGGGTATTGAAGATTTTTGGTCATATGATTTGTTGTCTAGTAACACAACCGGTGCATCATCACACACAAGCCATTTTCAACCAGAACATTCAGAGGTAAGACAGGAAATCCCACAAAGCCTCTAGATATACATAGATTTCTATATATGATGTCATGCTTGTACTCTGTTTGCTATTAAAGGGTCTGTGTCAAGGTTCCTCTGTGAATGGAAAATAAAACTATTATTTCACAGGTACGGGCACTGGTAAAAAAAAATAAGCAGACAGTTAGCAGAAAACGGTAATGATATTATTGTTCATATTTTATTAGCATTAAATTTTAATCTTAATCTTAATACATGTGATTTGGGAAATGTTAAAATACTGTTCAAGATAACGTATGGGTTAAAACTAAGAGATTTAGTGTTTTAAACATTGAAAAAAAAAGGGAAGTTGACTGTTAATAACACCTCTTCATTGGCTTAAAAACAGGAAGTTCTTTTTTTAATCTGAAGTTGTCAATCATGAAAGAGTGGCACACATGTTCAGTCTAAGAAGTCTGCAGGGGGAAGAGGACCAGTTAGTGGTGAGTCCAGATGATTTTTATTTTTAATTCTTTCTAATTTATACTTAAAGAACATCAGAGGAGATGCTACAATGATCTGGACTTCACAGTTAAACTGTTAAGCTATTAAAATTTTTACTATCTCTTTTTGCACTGATTTTGAAATCTGTTCTTTTATAAATTTGGACATTTATAATTTTAAAATAAAATAGCACATGTTTATGAGTCTTTAAAGTGAGGATGGAGGATGATTGATAATTTCTTATAATTTTATATATTTTAGGTTTATTATTCTGGGTCCTCTGGTCAACAACTTACTGTAAAGAAAATTATTTAAAATAAACTATTTCTTTGTCAGATAGTCGTCCTATGTGAAGCGTCTCCATGATGAGGCGTCCTCAGAGCTGTGAAGGAGGTAAGGAGATGAATGCGGAGGTGAATAAGGAGAAAATACAGAGAGCTGAATGATCATCATCATATAAACAAGAACAAGGCTGAACGGAAAAACTTTCTTTAAACACGATTTTAAAATCTGAACTGAGAAGAGATTTGGCTGTTCTTTTTTTCAGTATAGTATAAAGAATAAATAATAGGTAGTGACGTCATTATCAAGTGTTTAGAATAGTGCAGAACACAGGAAGTGAAACAGTCAAACATACACTATGTTTGTTGGTGGATGTTAGTTACAGTTTTTAAAGTTAGCTGCATAAAAAAGGTTCTGATCTATAAAAGGCCTTTTTAATAAAAGCTTTTGAGTTTTTACTAAATCCTTATGAGTCTTAAAGCAACATTTAGCAACAGGAGAGAATGTGACTAGGGCATAGTTTAGAGGAAGGTAAATACCACTATGGAAGCACAGCATCATCGACAACTATAAAGTCATTTCCTGTATTCAAAAGGAAAAATGTCTAAAAATAAGACAAATCATTTGAGACTTTACCATATAAAGCATCTGCTACAAACAGGCTTAAGTAAAGCAACAGCAGAAAAAGAGATGATGATCTATGATAAAAATAGGCTTTAGTGTTGATGTCAGTTTCAGATGTTGGTTGTTTGCTGTGAGTCTGTCTCCAGGTTATGAAGTGGTTCTCCTCTAAATTCTCCTCAGCTGAAGCTGCTTCCTCCCAACATGAAAACCCAACCAGAACCTCCAAGCTGCTAGCAGAGAGAGTCGTCCTGCTGGTTCTGGGCTCTGTGCTGGCTGCTGCTCTCATCATCATCTACAGACTGGGTCAGTTTTTAAATGATTTTCGTATTTTTTTCCCCTATTTTTCCCTTTTTTCGATTGGGTGAATCTTTAATTTGTGTTTCTGAAATGTAAAGTTTATATTTTTAAAGTGTAACATCAGGTTTCGGTTTTTGTGAAAACTTATAACTTTTTTTTTGCATCAGTTGATGTGGCTTGGCGGACCAGTGAAAAAGTCCAAACCCTGCAAGAAGAGAATGAAGCTCTGAGGGAAAAATTATCAGGTGAGTCGGTCAGAGATTGAAGGATTGATCAGGTTATTATATTTTTCATTTTTTATTTT